GCCCACGCGCCAGCCCGATCCGGGGCCGCCTGCTTGAAGTACTTGAGCTTCTGCAACCGGCGGCCCTGGCCCGGCCCCGCTGCGCGGCTCGGGGCCTGCGCTGGCCCTCCGAGGCCCGTCCCCACGCCGGCCCCAGCCCTGGACGTGCTCGCCTCAGCCGGCGACGCGCTCGCCTCCCTCTGCGCCGCGCCGCCCCACTGCCGCTTGCTCTGCCTGGAACTGGCGGCGGGCGCGGCCTCCAGGGGCCGCTTGGAGCTGAGGCCAGGGCCCGGGATCGAGGAGGGGGGCGGCCGGGGTTTTGACCCCGGGGCTGCGGGCGGGGCCCGTGGTGCCAGCAGTCCGACGGTCGGGGGGTGGGCCCTCGGAGCGGCCTGCCAGGCGGTCGCGTGGCTCGTCGTCGCTCTCGGCGCGTGCTCCACTGTCAATGCGCCAGCCAGGGACGTCGCACACGGCCCTGCGGCCTGCCCTGCCGGGGGCGGGCCTGGCGGCGATGCTGGGTGGCAGGCACCTGCTTCGCCCCTCACAGTCACCCTCGGGTCGCAAGTGGCCCCTGTCCTCTTGCTTCCCGGTGGCTGCGCCTCGCAGTCTATCGGCGCCTCGCAGTCTATCGGCGCCTCGCAGTCTATCGGCGCCTCGCAGTCTATCAGCGCCTCGCTGTCTACCGGCAGGCAGGCGAGCCCCAGCGTCCCCTCCTCCTCGCCCCCGTCAGCCCGTCCGCCAGCCGCCGCCGGGCGCCCGGCCCCCGGCAGCTTGGCCTCCAGGATCAGCATGCGGGTGAGCTTGCGGCACAGGCCCTGCGCCCCGTCCTTGAAGGGCGCGGGGTCCAGCCGCGGGCGCGCCGGCTCCTCCCAGTCGTCCCCGTCGCCCTCCCCGCCGCCGGCCGCCGCGCCGGCATGCAACGTGGCCGCGCCCGTGGCCATGACCACCGCCAGGTCGGCCAGCCGCGGCTCGCAGTAGTGCGCGTGCCTGCCCCGGGCCAAGCGCGCGCCGCGCTCCAGCGCCGCGGCCGCGGCGTGCGGCGCGCCCTCGTGCGGCGCCTGGCACGCCAGCGCCAGCGCCACCCAGGCGGGCAGGGCGGGCGGCTGCGCGGGCTCGAAGGCCGCGCTGGAGGGCGTGCAGGTCTTGACCAGCAACGTGCGCACCGCCTCCCGCGCCTCCAGGCCCGCGTCGGTCCAGGCGGCGCCCGGGCTGCTGTCTCTCGCGCAGGCCGCGGGGGCCCAGGGCGGGGCCGGGGCCCGGGAGCACAGGGCGTGGGGAGAGGCGCGGGCGGCCAGCGTGAGCCACCCGGGTCTGGGGCGCTGCAAAGGAAGAGGGTTGAGGAAGGGAAGGAAACTGTGAGTGGGAATCGGTGCTTGTCGACTCAGGGAGGTGCAGGCGTGCGATCGGCAGGCCAGACTCGCGCAAGGGCGGTGGGCCGGTGGCAGCACGAGGACAAGGGACCCCACAGGAGACACACCGTGCCTCGGCGCTCGACACTGACTCGACCTGCCGAGTCCAGTGTGCATGGCCTCATAGCTTCCCTGGCCCGACATGTTGCACCCCTCCAGGCGCCAAACACCCCGCAACTCGCCAAGAGTGTGACCGCCGTGGCAGGCAGCGATGCCTCCTGCTGCTGCTGCTGAATGGGGCTGGGTGCCGGGCAACCAGACGCCTCCGCCGTCTTGCTGGCAGAGTGCGGGCCGGACCCGGGTCCATTGGACGCGAGCCCCCCCAAGGTCGCCATCTCCTGGCGGGGCCTCGCCGACTCGATGGAGCCGGCCGTGAAGTCGCTCGTCTGTAGAGTTCTGGGGCTGGCCACATAGGCCCGTGACCGCGGCGGCGCCGCGGCATGCGTGTCACCGCGCGAGGGCGAGGTCACCGCCTGGTCGCCCGCCTCCTCCCCGCCCGACGTCTGGATCGTGGGGGCGGCAGAGGGGTCTCTGCCGACCTCCACAGTGGGCGCGAGCGTCGGCTGGCTGCGCGCGCTGTCCTCCTCGGGGTGGCTGTCGGGCACCGGCGGCGAGAGCGGATGGGGCGCCGGCGCTGCCTCCGACGAGCACGCCTGGGCGGCATGCGTCTGCGCGGCTGCAGGACACGTCGCCTGCAGCTGTGTTGCCAGGGGGCCCATCGCCTGCGCCAGCGTTGGCTCGGGGCTCGGGGCCTGCACCTGCGCCGCTGGACTCTGCGTCGACTGCACTCGTGAGGCCAACGCTGGCGTCGCCAGCGCCTGCGTCGCCAGCCCCTGCGTCGTCAATGCCTGCGTCGCCTGTGGTGTTGCCCCCGGCATTACAGCCTGGGAGCTGGCGTCAGGCACCATCGCCGCTGGCGTGGGCTGCACCTGAGTCGAGGCAGGCCCCGACGCCACCTGGTTCGACTCCCCGACCTGTGTCAGGCCAGCCATGAGAGGCGTGCTGCCTGGCGCCTGGCTCGCCGGCACGCCCTCCCGTGTCGTGGCCGTGGCCTGTGGTGTCTGCGTCGCCGGCACCATCTGCGTCCCCGCATCGAAGACCGGGGTCGGGGGCTGGGTGCACAGCCCTGGCGCTGCCTGCACCTGTGGGGTGGGCCAATGTGGGGACCAGGGGAAATGTTCATCATCAGGTGCATGCAGAGGGGTCAGGGAGCACCAGGAGGTAACAGGGTGAGGAGGGCGGGGCAGCGCAGCAGCAGCGCCCGGGGGACGAGACACACCACTGGTGTGGCTCCCAGTGTCAACCTGCTCGTCGTATCCCAGTCCCTTCAGAGCTCATGTGCCAGATAGCAGGCACCCCAGACCACGGGCCCACCCTCCACAGAACCCCATGGCCGGGCACCCCGCTTGCCTTCCTCGATCTGACCGGGGAGAAGAAGGGGGAGCTGGTGACCCACGCAGCCCGGCCCCCTGCTGGTGGGTGCAAGGCGAGGCCGTTTGTCAGTCCAGTGGCCCCGAGGGGCCCCTGCCGGGCGGGGGGGCTGAGCAGCCTGCTCCCTCCCTCCCAGCCTGCAGCCCCGGAGCCTTCGGGGGCCGGTCGCTTGCCGAGCCAGCCGCCGATGCCCTTTGCCGGCTGGCTCTGGTTCGGGGACTGGGATGGCCCCGCCTGGGGCGAGGGGTCCCGAGGCAACGCCGCCTGGGTCAACCTCTGGGTGAGGAGGGACTGGGGGGTGGGCAAGCCCCAGCTGGCTGGGGCGGCGGGGGCTGTGCCACCGCTCCCCCCGCTGCCGGCCCTCCCCGGGCTGAGGGTAGCATTTGCGCTGGGGCGCGGGGAGGTGCGGAGCAGAGTCACCCCTGAGGTGGCCCGGCGGGCATGAGCGGCTGGGTGCCTAGGAGTGAGGAGGGGCCGGTGGGGGGGCCCACCAACATCTCCTGCACGCAGGGAGCCCGTGGAGTGTTTCAAAAAGTATAATAAATGGAGCAGAGAAGATGGGGCATCTCACGGGCGAGGTCTCCAAACAACTTGAACAGGCGCACCAGTAGAAAACTGGGGTGTCGAGGTCACACTGCCCACCGGCGACTCCTCACTCCTCGCCATCCGCATCCTCACTCCTTGGATGCTTCAGGACCATGGCTCAAGCCCTACATCCATCTGTGGGCCGGGCCGGGCACAGACCGGGCCATGCATGGCATCCAGTAGCGATACTCTGGGCGGCAGGGGCGAGCGGGAGGGGGTGCTGTCGACGACCCACTCTTCGTACAGCGGGAACCTCGACATGCAATGCTGCCAATGATGAGGGTGATGGCGCGCGCGTCCCGGTCCCTGCAGTATACCTTCTTCGATGGTGAGGATGGCTGGGGGGTTTGATTTCCCCTCTTCGCGCCCTGGCGACACCGACACTCGGGCGACCCAGATCCCCGCACCCCTCTCCAGGCGCCTCTGCCTTACAGAGCGGGTGGAAAGGTGACATTGTTACCGAAGACGTGCGGCCGGAGCCAGAATATTTAAAGTGCCCAGGCTCAGCCCTGCTGCATGGAGGAGGCGGGCGTGCTCTCCTCCCCCTCTGTCTCCATCCCCTCCCGTTCGCTGGTCCCCCCAGTGACCATGTCGGAGGCGGCCCCCGGCGCGACCGCGTTCCCTGCGTCGCCGCCGGGCGCGGCCCCCGCCGCGGCCGCCAGCTCGGCGTAGGTCAGCGGGCAGGTCCTGGCCAGATGCTGGAAGAGGACCTTGCTGAGCGTGTCCGCGCGCCCCCGACGCGCCCCCGCCACGCCGAGCAAGCGCAGGTCGGCGCCCACGGGGCAGCCGTCCAGCAAGGTGAACCCGCCCGGCCCCAGCTCGAAGCGGAGCAGGGTGCCCGGCCCAAGGCCTCGCCCCGTGCCGGCCTGGAAGCCGGGGGGCATGCGGCCTAGGGCGCAGGGCTCCACGTCCCCAGTGGCCACGCTGCCGTCCATGCGGTACGCCAGCACCAGCCGCTGCGCGGGTAGGGGGACGCCTATGAAGGGAAGGGGGAGGGCAGGGGCAAAGGGAGCAGGGTGACTGGGCTGTGCTGGATGGGGAGGCTGCGGATTCTGGTGGACATGAGCATGCCTGCCAGGCCCTACGGTGTCTCATCCTTGGTCACGCCCACACACCTGTACCGGTCAGCCACCACCAGGCAGAACCCTGTCCTTCCCCCACTCCCCGCAGCCTTCCTTGCTCAGCGCCATGTACCTGCCGCGTCGGTGTCGATGACGTACTTGCTGCAGGCCTGATCCTTCCACAGCAGGCTCAGCGGCGACTGGCCCGGGGTGTAGTGCGCCTCGCGGTGCAGGAAGGCGAGGCCGTCGCGCGCGTAGGGCGCCGCCCCTCCGTAGGCCGCCGCCAGCCCCGCCGCGTCCGCCGCGAGCCAGGGCACGGGCGCGAATTGCGGCAAGGCCGCCCCGCCGCCCCGCCCCGGCCCCGCCTCGGCCAGCTTGGAGGCGGTCCAGAAGGCGCGGAACTCGGTGGTGCAATGGTACAAGGGGTGCCCGTTCCAGGCCATGGCGTCCAGGGCGTAGTAGGTGGCGTCGGCCACGTGGTGCACGCAGTCCAGCAGGCAGTAGCTGTCCTCGCCGCGGGTCGTCTCGGGGCTGCCGCCGGGCAGCGCGCTGGCGAAGCGGGCATGGACCACGCCATTTCTCAGCCGGGCGGTGGTCAGGCCGCGCGAGGCGATCACCAGACAGCGCACGCCCTCGGGCCGAGCCGCCACGTACCTGTGCAGCGTGGTAGGGACGTGAGTGCGGGAGCGAGAGAGGGTGGGCGGTGCCGTCGTGGTGGCAGGAGGGGTCCATCGACCCCAGGACCCTGCTGGCGTCCCGTGAAACCTCGAGGCTCACCAGTTGGTGGCCAGGTCTGCGGGGACCTCCAGCATCCACTCCGGGAGCATGAGCTGCTGCGCATACGCTTCCCGACCGGAGGCAGCCGCCCTGCGGCTGGAGGGGGCCTGCGGGCTCCTGGTGGGGCTGGAGACCTCCTCCCCTTCAGCCTGTGGGTGGGGAGGCGGAACTCATCTGCACTCAAGTCCTGTCAAGGAGGCGCACCAGCCTCCCATTCCTCATGCATGCATCCAGCCAGCCACATGCCCTCCGTCAGCACGCACCTCCTGCGTGGTGGAGGCCTGGGAGCTGTCACTGGCTGATGCCAGGGCTAGCCGTCGAGCACGCACCGTCTCTCGCCTGGCGCTGGCCTGCTTCTCCAGAGCTACGGCCCGATGGCGGCTCTGGTAGTTCAGGGCCAGGGATCTGGGATTCTCCCTAGACCCCATCGTCGCTGTGGCCGGCCCCGGCCCGATCCACGGCCTGGCCCCCTCCCTTGACGCCCGCTACCCGGGATCGGGCACGCTCATCGCGCGACACCCATGTCGAGTCCCAATTTGATCGTTTTATGGAAGTGTATGTGTTGAAGCATGCTTGCGAGGGGGTGTCGCCATAGTGCATGTTACAGGGATCGAGGTGGCCCCCGACATCGCGCGCCCGGAAGGGCCAGGAGCGCGGGGAGGGTACAAGGGGGGTGCAGGTTGTGCAACCCTGCAATTGTTGAGCAAGGCTGCGGACTACTGCGAGAAGAGGCTTAGCTGAGAAGGCAGGGCTACAAACACATCGTCGTCCTACTGGGCCTGAGGGCCCCGTGAGGGTCTTAAGGGGCTCAGAACTGCTGCGTCCTTGCTCCAACGACACAACCGTGAGGTTCATGGCACGCGCCACGCTCCGCCTCCCACAGGCTCAGTCCTGCAGGGCTGCCAGCGCGTGCTGGGAGCCTAGGGCCAGGAAGGCCACCCGCCCCAGCCCGGGCACCAGGGTCGGGCGGGGGGCGCCCAGCCCCTGCCACTGCCCGGCCGCGCCCGAATCCTCTCGGCCCGGGATTGGCACACGGGGCGCATCAGCGGCTGTGGCCCCTGCGGCCGCGGCCTGTGCCAGGGCCTCGCCTGCCGCGCGCGACAGGACGCTGCCCCAGAGCCGCACGCCGCCATCGTCGTCGACCACGGCCGTGGCGGCGCCGCCCGCCGCCAGCTGGCGCACCGCGCCGTCGCCCAGGTCCAGCGCCAGCGCCGGGGCCAGCCAGGCCCCGGGAGCGACGGGCGCGCCGGGGCCCGCGCAGCCCAGAGTCCACACGCGCGCGCCGTCGGTCAGCGCCAGGTGCGCCCAGCCCGCGGCCAGGTCGACCAGGGGCGGGAGCCCACGCGGCACAATCACCAGCCCTGCCCCGCAGGCGCTGCGCCAGGTGCGCGCGCCGGGCAGCAGGGTCTGCACCCCCGGCACGGCCCAGACGCCGGGCGGGGGCGGGCGCGGGGGCCCCGCATCGGCCGCGGCGCCGCCCAGCGCGGCGGGCGAGCCCCAGACCACGACGCCGCCGTCGCGGGTGAGCGCGGCGGCAAAGCCGCCGCCTGCGACGACGCGTGCGGCGCCGCCGCGCGCCGCGACCTCCCGCGCCACGTCGGCGGCCAGCGGCGCGACCGCGGGTACCCAGCCGCGTGCCACCGCCGCGTCCAGCGCAGCGACGCCGTCGGCCGCGCCCCAGTCGCCGCCCAGCGTCCAGACGCGGCCGTCGGCCGCGGCGGCGTGCGAGCGGTGGCGCGCCGCGGCCACCGACACCAGGCGCGCGCCGCCAAAGGCGGTCTGCGGCAGGCGGAAGGGGTGCCCCGTGGCGGCCAGCGGGTAGCCGGCCGTGGTCACGCCCAGCGCGGCACCGGCCTCGTAGCCGGCCGCCGCGCTGCGCACGCTGAGCCGCGCCTCCAGCGCCTGGTCATACATGGCCCTGGCGGCCTCCAGCTCCCCCGCCCGCCCCGCATGGTCCACCATGGGCAGCAGGTGCGTGGCGTGCCAGCCGCTGGAGGCCGCTGCCGCCGCCGACTGCTGTTCCAGCGTCAGCGCGGCCGCGGCGGCCGCCGCGGCGGCGGCTGCAGCCCCCCGTCGCCGTTCCAGCCACAGCCCGCGCGAGGCGCCGGCGCCGGTGGAGGGGCCCTGCAGGGAGGACGCGCCCTGCCAGGGCGGGCCGGCGCCGGCGCCGCCGTGGGCCCCAGACCCCAGCGCGCCGGCGCCGCCGATGGCAGCAAACACGCCGTCCTCGCCGGGGCCGGGCGGGGCGGGGGTGGCGCCCTGGCCGCCCGCGGCGGCGCCGCCGGCGGGCCCAGGTCCCCGCCGCGCCACCGCTGCGGCCTGCTCGGCGGCAAAGGACTCCAGTCCCAGGGTGGCCTGCCCCACGCGCGACTCGCCCGCACTCCACAGCCCGCCCTCGTCGTCTAGGAAGAGGGAGTGGTGCCGGCCGAGCGCTGCGCTGCCCACTCGCGCTCGGTGCACGAGGCTCTCCACGCGGTGGGGCGAGGTGCAGGGGTCGGAGGTGCCATGCCCCAGCTTGGCCGCGGTGCCATCGCCCCAGGTCCACACCTCCCCATTCCCCAGAACCGCCGCGGAGTGGGACTTGCCGGCCGAGAGGTGGGGCACCCCTGATTCGGCATGGCCCAGCCCCTGCACGGCCTCAGGGCCGGCAAGCACGGGGCGGGTGCTGGACACGCCGCACTGGCCCTCCAGGTTGCGGCCCCTGCGATGCAGAGGTTTGGGAAGTGGAGGTTGAGTGGCCCTGCACCCCGAGGCCGTGGGCAAGGCATCGCCAACAAGCACCCAGAGACTCCGGAACAGAGGGATCGCTGGCACCCCGCGCACCATGCCACGACAGAGATACTGCGACGAAGCACCGCCTGCCCTGCTTTATGAAGTGTGGCTTCGAGTGCCATGGGTGCGAGGTCGTCGCCCCAGGGCCTCGTGTGCCCAGGTAGGCTCGGAGCCCTGAGCCCTGCTCACTGGCACCCCCTGCAGCACGCTCTTCTCCCAGACCACGTCAGGAGGGTGGGTTATGCCCACAACTCAGGGTAACTCGATGTCGTCATGGACCAGCGCCTGCAACCTTGGAGGGGATCCATCGCTAATTGACGCGCCAGATGACGCACGGTGACGAAGGAAAGGGCGCATCTCGGCCATCGCTTAGGATTTCCGCCATGATGTCCACCACACCCCCGCATGATGACCTCTGCTGGCCTGTCCTCTCGTTGATTACTCCGGCATTGCACCCGAGGCACTCTCCCGACACATCGCCGAAACACCATGGCGTCGCTAGTCCTGCATGCGGGTCTAGGGATCCGTGTGGAGCCCCAAGTGCAGCCCCGGTCCATGGGCTCGAGGCATGCCGGATTCAGTACCGGCAGCCGCCTGTCCCTGCAGGCCCCGCCCTCCAGGGTGTCGGCAAAGCGCCTGCACATGACCACAACCGCTGCTGCCACCAAGCAGCAGAGGGCCCAGCAAGTCCAGGTGCTGCATGGTTCATGAATGGTGATGGGAGACCAGGTGGCAGCCTGTCCACTTCTTCATGGAGGACCCTGAACACCGGCACCCTTCGATTCGGTCTTCCTGATGGACTCTTTAAACACCGCAACACTCGCAGGTTGACATCTCCAAGCCTCTCGGCCTGGTAAGGTCGTGCACTGCTTGGCTCTCAGAAGGCATGCTCTCCACACAAGTTGTGGGCCCCCGATGCTTGTTTCTGTGTGTCCATTTTACCAGTCACTGTCTCTTTGGCATCTCAGCCGCTTGCTAAGCCCCTCTCTGCAGACGCTGGAGCAGGGGCGGACCCCACAGGGGGGCCTCCGCGTCAAGAGCGCATCTGGCAATGCTGCCAAGGCGGGAGTCCAGGTTGGCGACACCGTCATCTACACCTCATCCTTCTTCGGTGATGAGCTGTGGCCTGCCGACAAGCTGGCAAGTGCATGGAGAAGGGTGTTGAGGTGGCAGGAGTTAGCGACATACCAGGGGCAATTGAGATGTGCACAGCAGGCTTCCACCTTGTCGCAGCACATCCCAAGTATGGGCTGTACAGGGGAAGTTGGTGGCTGGCAGACCTGCTGGTGTCCAGCGAGTGTTTCTTAATATGTCATGGCATTTAAAGACTTGTGTTCCTCCACCCCC